TAAGTATTTGTTGTTGCTAGAGTGTTTTGTGCTAGAAGTAAAAATGTGTGTAGAAATTTTTTTGAGGTAAAACTGAATTCATAGATGAAGTAAAAATGTTTGGAAGTGTAAATGTGACTATTAGAAGTGACATTACACTGACTTTTGCATGGCATTGGTAATGGTTAACTGCATGGAATGCATGCAAGGCTACTACGTAGGTCTTACACTGTGTACCTTGCATGGAAGACATTTTTCAGCACCCTTCATGCACTTGTCACTTGGGTGGACGAGTTACCTCGTGACCAAGAGCATGCTCGCCCTTTGAGTGGGCAAGCAAGTACTACACATGACCATGCCCGTCCTTTAAGTGGACGAGCTCAAGGCACTTTTTTGTTCTTTGCATTTTATGTGTGTTATATATATATGTGTGTATCATTTCTTGTTTGTATCATCACTCCATATTTCATTAACAAAAACATAGATTTTACACATCAAATATGTCTTAAAGAAATATAATTGTTACCTGCCACTTTAATGGTGCTATTTCGACAAATAGTACCGTTGAATTCTCATTCAACAACACAAATACTTATGCATTCAAAATTCATGTCAATTTTGATTTTTTCATTTCAAAGATAGAATGGAAAAATAATTAAAACAATGCGTTAAGGAGATTGTTTATCGTCATCCATTACTTAATGAAGACGAAATGTACAATTTTTTACATAATGACACCGATCAGGAACGACGAAGACGTGGAGGAAATATTTCGGTGCCACATGATGTTTGGTCAGTTACCCACAATTGAGCTATATGTCCGACTACTACACAATGCTAAAACATTTCCGACGCAAGAGACACAATCACACCAGTATGGAATGAGCCAAACATCTGACGACGAACCAACACAAAACAACCAACTTTTCATACCAAATGAAGAGGTTGGTGAAGCATGCGATGATGATCTTTAAGAGGTCAGGATGCAAGATATTTTTGGTAACAACGATGACGAAGATGATGAAGATATAATTGTTGCGTCTACGCAGCCGATTCGCGCATAACCAATAAGTTTGTACAACCCACCTGCACATATGCAAAATATATGTATGGAAAATGATGAAACAACCTCCGTGTTTGGAAGTGTCATACCAAACCATATAGGTGACGAAATAGAGATTGGGATGGAATTTGAAAACAAGGAAGCTTGCGTTTTTGCTCTGCAACATTGGCATATAACACACAATGTTGACTATTGGGTTTACCAATCTGACAATGAACGATACATAATTAAGTGTAAGAAACAAGACTGCAATTTCAAATGCAGAGCTTCCTTGAGAAAAAGGAACTCAAAATGGGTTATTGGTAAGCTGTCAGGGCCTCACACATGCACTACCACGTCTATGGCACAAGACCATAGGAAACTCAGTTTAGAAATGATTAGCCACGACATCAGAGAACTTGTCAACCGAGACACTTCACTTAAGGTGAAGGTGATCATTGCTCATATTCTTGAAAAATACAGGTACATAATATCTTACAGGAAAACATGGATCGCTAAGTGTAAGGCCATATAGTCGCTCTACGAAAATTGGGAAACATCTTACAACGACCTGCCACAGTGGATACTGGTAATGAAAACCTACCTTCCAGGAACCATTATAGATTTGCAAACCCTACCTGTAATTTCAAATGATGGTTCTCAACTCTCTGGAAAACGAATCTTCCATCGTCTATTTTGGGCATTTCATCCGTGTATACGTGGCTTCGCCTACTGTAAGCCCATTGTGCAAGTAGACGGGACATGGTTGTATGGAAAGTACAAAGGAACTCTATTGATAGCGGTGGCACAGGATGGAAACACAAACATTTTCCCAATAGCATTCGTATTGGTCGAAGGTGAAACAAAGGAAGCATGAAGCTTTTTCCTAAGGAACCTGAGGTTACACGTGACACCACAACCTAATTTGTGCCTAATCTCTGATAGACATGAATCAATAAAGAGTGCATATAACAATCCCGAAAATGGATGGCAACATCCATCATCTTCACATGTCTACTGCATTAGACACATTGCACAGAACTTCATGCGCGAGATTAAAGACAAGGAACTACGCAAAAAACTTATTAATATGGGTAAAAAAATACATTTCAGTTATCTCAACTATTATATCATACTTTTACTATGTTTTTCATACAATTTCTATTACAGGTTACGCATTGACGGAGGCTACATTTAACTACTATCGTGGAGAAATCCGAAGAACAGACGTTGAGACTTCAAATTGGATAGACAACATACCTAGAGAGAAGTGGGCTAGAGCATTTGACAGAGGGCAAGTTGGGGACATATGACATCTAACTTGGCAGAGGCCATGGACTATGTACTAAAGGCAACTAGAAACCTTCCAATCACTGCTTTGGTCCAGTCTACATACTATCAAATGAGTACACTCTTTGGTAAACGAGGACACAAATGGACCAAAATGCTAGCTACAAGGAAAGTTTTCACAAATGGTTGCAACAAGGGAATGGCTGATGAGGTAGCCAAGGCTAACACATATAATGTCATGCAATTTGATTGCGAAAGATTCTGTTTCATGGTGCAGGAAAAAATTAATCAGAACGATGATCGTCTGACGGGTACTTTTAGCGTTGACCTGAGTAATCGTTGATGTGACTGTGGAAAATTTCAAGCATTTTACTTGCCTTGCTCCCACGTGATCACATCATGTTCTAGCGTATGACAAGACTACACCATTCACATTCCAGAGGTTTTCACAGTTCTTAGCATGACTACAAGGAAAGCTTCCCGGGACTACCGCACGAGGAGAACTGGCCAAAATATGAAGGTTTTACTCTATACCACGACGATTCCATGAGAAGAAATAAAAAGGGACATCTAACTAGTAGTAGGATTACAACTGAAATGGACGACACTGAAAAAGAAAAGAGAAGGTGTGAGATTTGCAGAGAAATAAGCCATATGCGTAGAAAATGTCCTAATGTTGCCGGCCCGTCAAACCGACCGTCTAGATAATTTTATTTATTTTACAAGGAACTTGATTAGAAAATATTTTGCTCGCACTTGATTTCTATGTGATCCAACATTTATTTGTAATTCAAGACAACTTTTAGATTACATCAATACTAGCAGATTACAACCATAAACTTAAAAATAAAACTTAAGAAGCTAACATACACGATAATCAACAATAGCAACCAACGCAAGTGGATCTTCGACTCCTTTGTTAACTTTGCCACTATATGCTGAAAATATACATTGGACATCTTCACCATTTTCTATATGAACCAAGTAATACATGTACGTACCCTCTGGGCTTGCATCAGTTAACGTTATATACGGACAACGATACTCCATTTTTCTCACCGTCATGCGACGACCACCCAACTGTCGAAACCCCATGTTAATTGCTGCAACCACGGTTCTGAAATTCCACTGCGGATCTAGGTAAACACTGATTTTTTTTTCTTGTCCATAAAAAACAAGAGCTCAGACATATATTTTTAAAACATTGGACAAGAATGATTTGTTCTGATGCGCAATATCTCTTTTTATAAAAAAAATTACGTTTGAACTCGGTCATTCAATGACCGAGAGTCTGTAAAAACTATACAATTCCTTGGACGAACATCAATTATTCTTTAAAATATATGAAATGAAAGAAAATTAAATTATTATATCATTCATAATTATATCATTCATAATTTTTTTCGTTCTTATAATAATATATAATAACATAATATATAATATTATTATAATAATTATTTATAATTAAATTAAATATCATAATTAAACATGATATATAATAATTATTTAACATTAATATCATAATTAAATTAAATTATTTAAAATAACATGATATATAATATTCTTATAATAATTTTAATTTGTTTATATTTATTAAATTAATATAAAAAGTTTTTAATATTTAAAATTACTTTTTTAATTAATTAAATATAATATAATTATGATAAAAAAACGAAACCAACACGTGCTCGCCACTTGAGTGGGCGAGCACCTACATAAAAAATGAATCAGCATTAGCTCCCCACTTGAGTGAACGAGCATGTGGTAAAAATGGGACAACCCTATTATTTTTTTTTTAAACTAGGGTATTATGGTATATACCATTTTAGTGTAGGATAATACAGTAAAAAAATCTAAATCAAAACTCTATCGACTCAGATGTGTTTGGAAATGCATCTACAAAATCTTAAAATATTTTTATATTTTTACGTGATGTTCTAATAATACATGAGAGCATTAAAAAATTCCCTAAATATTTAAGTCACCAAATCTCATCTTTTAACCCTAGAGAATTCACCTCTTCAAAATGCACTATTTGCTAAAATATTAAAAAAACAATAATATTTGCACATTTATTTTCTCTTTATCTTTCTCTTTTTATCATATCTCCAATCTATAATATATATCACTCCACTCTCTTTATTTTTCTATATCTCAAATCTCAAATTGTGTACAATCATAGGCATGAAAACACCAAACTCACATAATACACAATATACAAATAAACTACCATGTTAACTTTCAAACCTACCTTCCTTAAAAAAAGGGTAATTTATATTGATTATCATTGAGGAGAGACAATAGTCAAATACAATTGGTAAGGTATGAACTGTCTTCAGGCTGTCACAGTGTCACCATTTGAAAGGCATTCACTCATTCACTTTCACCTCCATCCATCCATCTAGTATGTACACTCTAGAATACACCTTTCTTTTTTCACACCACAGCTAAAAAGTAGTGACCAGAGATAGATATCCCCTTCCACACCACTTCTCCAAAGTCCCACATAACCTCTCTCTCTCTCTCTCTCTCTCCACCCCTTCCACCCCTAGAGGACCAGTTTCTTTCCTCATAGTCATAGACATCAAAAATTTGATAATGTAAATCAAACTCACATTAAAGGAAAAAAGTCCACTCAAAACTCAGCCTCAAAAATCAATCTTTTGAGTCACAAAAAGTTCTCCATTCAATGGCTTCATCTAAACCTCTCTTCCTCTTCCTCATCAACATTTTCTTTCTTCTCACACTCACTTCTGCAGAAGATGCATTTGTTCCCTACAACTTTGAAGTCTCCTACATCACTGCATCACCTCTTGGAGTACCCCAACAGGTTTTTTTCTTTCCTACATCTTTCTCTTGCTATTTTTGGATTTGGGTATGTTCACTTTTCTACTAACTCACTTTGAATTAACCAAAGTTTCAACTTTTACTTTCAGATCTACATCTAAATATAGTTATGTTATAGTTATACTTTCATATTTGAATTAGTTTGTAGAGAAAGTGGTAAAAGGTTTTTTGGTAATGGTTTTCATTGTTTGTGTAGGTAATTGCTATCAACGACCAGTTTCCAGGTCCTACTATTAATGTAACAACAAACAACAATGTTGCTGTTAATGTCCGAAACAAATTGGATGAGAGTCTCCTCATTCATTGGTAGGTTTTTTTTTGTTGTTGCTGAGTTTATTTTGAAGTTGAAAAGTTGGGTTTTGTTAATTGAGCTGAAAAATTTGATTTTTTTGTTTGAAACTTGAAACAGGTCTGGGATTCAGCAAAGGAGGAGTTCATGGCAAGATGGTGTTCTTGGAACAAATTGTCCTATTCCACCAAAATGGAACTGGACTTACCAGTTTCAGGTGAAGGATCAGATTGGAAGCTTTTTCTACTTTCCTTCACTTCATTTTCAGAGAGCAGCTGGTGGATTTGGTGGTTTCATCATCAACAACCGTCCTGTTATTTCAGTTCCTTTCGATACCCCTCAGGGGGATATTGTTGTTTTTATTGGAGATTGGTATACTCGTAATCACACGGTTAGTTAGTGTGGCGTGAGTTGAATATATTTATGGAAAGTTTGTGCTTCTTGCTTCTGTGTTAAGTTAGATTTGATGATGATTGAATTAATTGATGTTTTTTTTTCTTGTTTAAATTAATGTAGGATTTGAGAAAGGATCTAGATGATGGAAAAGATCTTGGCATGCCGGATGGTGTTCTCATAAATGGAAAAGGCCCTTATAGATATAATAATACACTGGTTCCTGAAGGCATTGATTTCGAGCAACTCGATGTTCAACCTGGTAACTTGATGTTTATGACATTCTTCATTCTTGATATTGATCCACCTGTTGAACGTTTTTAATGTGTACTTGTACTTATCGTTTAACAGGAAAAACTTACCGATTACGTGTACATAATGTTGGAATATCAACAAGTCTGAATTTCAGGATTCAGAACCATAACTTACTTCTAGCAGAAACTGAGGGGTCATATACAGTGCAGCAAAACTACACTAGCTTAGATATTCATGTTGGACAATCTTATTCTTTTCTGGTAACCATGGATCAGAACGCAAGTTCAGATTATTACATCGTAGCAAGTGCGAGGTTTGTGAATGAATCGCGTTGGAAAAGAGTTACTGGTGTTGGTATCTTGCATTATTCAAATTCCAAGGGGAAAGCAAAAGGTCCTTTACCGTCAGGTCCAGATGATCAATTCGACAAAACCTACTCAATGAACCAAGCAAGATCCATCAGGTCAATTTATGCTACAATTCTATTGCATTATATAGTATCTAGTCTCGGTTACTCTCGTTTCGGTTTTGAGCAAGTGTTCGAAATGTCCTCATTTTTGAAATTCTGTGTTTAATCGTGTAGATGGAATGTATCGGCCAGTGGTGCGCGTCCGAACCCACAAGGATCATTCAGATACGGTTCCATCAATGTGACAGATATTTACGTATTAAAAAATAAGCCACTAGTGAAAATTGACGGGAAGCGGCGGGCAACACTTAGTGGAATCTCTTATACCAACCCTGCCACTCCACTCAGGCTCGCCGATCAATTCAAAGTAAAGGGAGTATACAAGCTTGATTTCCCCACGAAGCCTCTAACCGGATCTCCTCGGATAGAAACATCAGTAATCAATGGAAGCTTTAGAGGATTTATGGAAATTATATTGCAGAACAATGACACCAAGATGCATACCTATCACTTGAATGGATATGCCTTTTTTGTAGTAGGGTAAGGACAAGTTCGTTCTTCTTTTAAACTCCATTCCTTACTTACATGAATTTACACATTTTGTGTTTCATTCGCCGATAAATCATGCTTACACTTGATTCATTGCTGCAGCATGGACTTTGGCGATTGGTCTGAGAATAGCAGGGGTACATATAACAAGTGGGACGGAATAGCTCGTAGCACAGCACAGGTATATTTTCTCTTAGAATATACGTGGCTTCTCCCAAACACGGACCAGTTTTCATAACAAAATTTTTGTGCAGGTTTATCCTGGTGCATGGACAGCAGTTTTGGTCTCCCTCGACAACGTTGGGATTTGGAATCTGAGAACGGAAAACCTCGATTCATGGTATCTTGGTCAAGAAACATACATCAGAGTTGTCAACCCCGAGCCTACAAACAAGACCGAGTTACCAATTCCAGACAACGCCCTTTTCTGTGGCGCCCTTGCAAAGAAGCAAAAGTACTTTACATCATCATTCTTTCAAACCTCAAACAATTTCTTGTTTTTGTCAAATTTTGACGTCGATTTTCTTATCTTATTTCAGGCAACAAATAATTTCTTCAGCTGCTTCATTCAATGGAAATGGACTGAAGTTGTTATTCACTTTGGTGATGTTTGTATGTGCCATAATCAACATTTTGCAGTAGAAGCAGATGCTCTCTTAATTAGTTGCTTTGAAAGAGTTTGGCTTGTTGGTGAGATTTGTGGTTGAATTCTGATTCTTGATTTTTTAGTCTTGTTTATATTTTGAAGTGATTTTGATTTGTATTCATGTTATTAGCTTAATGTTGTGGTTCCCAGTTTAATTGTTTGGGACACTTGTAATTCTTTTAATGCCTGTAATTGTAGTAGTAATGACCAATCACATTCTTGATACATGAAACTTGTCAACACTGTTTCCACTTCATTCTTTCTTTCATCTTAAATTCTTTATACTTTGTGTAATTTGTAGCTTCTTTATGCAAAGCTAAAGATGTATTCATCACTGCATTTATTCTCATCTAATAGGAATATATTAATTTATTATGTTATACAGTTAATTTAAAATTTACAGTATGATGTGGCGGGATGCATGAGAGCGATTATTTATAGTATGATGTGGCGGAATGCAGGAGAGCGATTGGTTGAAAATATAAAATAATTTTACATGTGTATATCAATTAAATTCTAAATTTAATCCTATAATAAAAATGAATGAATTATATTTGTTTGAGATATGTCCAAATATGCATATTTGGATTCTAAGACTATTTTAGAATTTTCACAAACTTTGCTGGTAATCTATAGAGCTCTTAAGAAATTCCCCTAAAAAATTCAGAGTTCTGTTTTTGCTTTATGTGATGATTCTATTTAGCATATCATGTACTATCAATCTTTATGCGATGTATGTTCCTATTCAACAGAATTATTAATTTTAAGCAGTACTATTTTCTATACTTCATCTACTAGCATTAAATCCACAATTGAAAAAATGATTCTTTCCATTTTCTGATTGAATATAAAAATAACAGAAGCAATAGTAGGAGAAAGTAGAAAGTGGAGGAATTGGTGGAATAGAGAATTACACTTTTGGATTAACTTTGGAGGTGTATTTTTGGATTATTATTATTATTATTTTTATTTATAAAATTAGAGCATGATTCATTTATGCATGAATTTAGTGTATTTAAAATGTGTTTGGAGACACATCTTTAGATTTTAGATTTTTTTGTTTGTTTTTGTTTTCCACGAAGATGTGGTAGTAATCTTTAATGTACCTTAAATAATTCTCTTGAAAATCCCTTTTAAATACATGCCAAATGGATCTGACTCAAATAAAACTATTCACATAACTTTGTTTTTCTTTTATTCATTTTTTCTTTTTCTTTATAAAAAAATAAATGGTGGGGCCCACTTGAAGAGTGAAGTCATCCCAAAAATTTCCCCTTCACGACTCAAATGGGAAGGAGCCGCTCCACCATGCCCGCCTTCTTTCTCAGTTAATCATCTTTGTCATCATATCTGAACCATTCATGTCAATATGGATTTTCTCAAGTGAAAACAACTTCATCTCCAATGCATTCAATATCCAATGATATCCACCTCAATGTGCTTTTATATGAAATGAAACACCAGATTTATACCAAGATGATTTGGACTCCTTTTGCTCTCTTTCTTTCTCCCTTTGCTTGAAAGTGAAGAAATCTCACAAAACCACCAATTTCTCCACTTTGCATTTTCCACACCAGTTCTTGTTCCTAATCCAAAAACACTTCAAAGACCATATACACACCCTAAAAATGGTCATTTGAAGCTGTTCCCACCATTGGTTTCCTCAAAAAGCACTTAGAACAAAAAGTCAACTTTTCATACACCTAACTTTGACTTTTATGCATTTTTCACACTAGATCATTACACAAACCCTTTCTTACCATCACAACCCTTGGAATACTTCATGTTTAGGTTGTATTAGCTGTTCATAGTCTCAAACAACAGCTGGAATCTCATCTACTCAAACTGTCCTCAAGATTTGTTTGTTTCTTCAAAAAGAAGTAAGCTTCACAAACTTGCTCAAAAGGAAGGATTTATGGTTTTCTTGGATGCTAGATTGCTCAAGGAGGTCTACAAGAGGTATGTAGCCCTAAACCCCCTCATTATGCATCATGTGTTATGTTTTGTGGTTTGTTAGATTGATATAAACATTGTTATGATAAATGGTGACTATGCTGTCCAAATCTAGTTGGAATTTGAATCTGCCAAAAATCATGTGTCTTTGTTGTAACACCATTAGTAGTATGCATGTTATTACTTTTTATAAAAGTAGTGTGTTTATTGCATGGAGGGTTTGTGTTGTTGACATTGTTATGCCAAGTGTATGTTCATTAGTATCCAAACTATTTTGAAAAGTCAATAAGAAAGGTTTAGGTTAGATGCTTTGATATTGAGCATTGTTATGTTTGAAATTAGATTGGATTTGTCTAGCTTATTATGGTTTGCATCAAGCCTGTCATTTGATTTTTTGATTGAAGACTGCTGTTAGAGGTTGCATCCCTCACCTCTATTGATGACTAGAGTTAGTGACCCCTCATGTAGCTTGCATCCAGCCTTGAACTAATATCAGTTTCTTGGTGCTGGTTTAGTATCTCTAGGCTGTTTGAGCTTGGCCTCATTTGGATTTTGGTTTTCAAGCCATATTTCACTGCTGCCTAGGCCTGGGCTTGAGATCTGAGTTTGTTAACTCAGATGTGTTTTTCTAGCAGGTGTTAGGAATTCAGGTCTGCTGTAGGAATTAGTGTTAGGCCTGCAGGATATCTAGAGTGGCTAACTCTTATTTTAGTCGGCATTCCCTTTAGACTTGGCATTATAATGTCAATCTCATTGTTTTTGTTTAGGTTTGGATGTAGTTGGCTTGCTCTTTGTTTGTTGAACTTTTACTTGGTGCTCATTTGATATAGTCTAGTATTCAATGTGTGCATAGGACTGTCATTGGAGCTTCATGTTTTCATAAGGGCTGCTGATTTTCATCTGTGGCAAGATTGTAATCAGGTTTGTTATAATGAGGATTTTGGACTATTAAACCTTTGAGAGCAGTTTTTGTTGCTGTGACTGTTTGGTGAACTAGAATTGGGTAGCAAGTAAGAACTGTCAAGGGCATTAAGACTTAAGGTTGTCTTTTTTTTGGTGTGGAGGTTGTTACCTCAGTTTAGTTGGAGTTTTGGGTGCTAGTTAGTTCAACTAGATTTTAGAGGTGCATAGATTTGTCATTGGGATTTATGTGTGTGTGAATTCTTGTTACTGTTAGGATATTGGTGCATTGCTATGCTAAAGAATCATGTGTGTTTGATGGCATGAGTTTGCAACATCTCATTTTGAGCAATACAATTTGGATGGAGAGATTGGTAACTTGATCTAAACTTACTTGGTTCCAAGTCTGTTATGATTTTTGTTTTATCTACTTGTGTAAGTTGGATCTCAAGTCACTTGGTTAAATACTATGGCATGGCTGCTACTTGGTCATCAGCATGGTTATGGAATGCCCTGTAAGGAACCATTTTGAATTGGCCAATGCATCTAAGGTTGTCAGCAGACCTGATGTGGATTGTAGCAGGTGGTACAACAATGTTTTGGCTTTTGTTCAATGGTGACATTAGTAGCAAGACTTGGAACTATTGTTGTTTTTGTATCCTGCTATCAAACATGCTCTTCATGTCAGTTTTGGTTCAGAAGTCACCTTTAGGTCTCTTTGGTTAGGGGCTGTTATTGGATTTGGATTTGTCAATCCATGTTGAGGTACTAAAAGGTTATTTGGCCCTTGGTTTTAGTTTCTTAGGTTGTTTGTATTTGAAGTAGGCTTGAGGAAGTTGGAGTGATAGGATTGGGAAGAGTTTTTTTTCTTTGTTTGAATTTGTGAAGGCTGTTGCTGTTGGTTGTGTAGCTCAGGCCAAGATTGTTGGCCATCCATTAGTAGGTTCACTAATATACTGTCATAACTTTGATGTTTAGTGCTTGGTAATTTTAGTTTGCACTTCATTCTTCTCTAAAGTTTTGTGTGTTTGTTTACAGTTTATGCAATTATGGTTGTTGCCTTGGTCTGTTGTTTAAGCATTGTTAAAATGCACCTTCTTTTAAGAATACAAATTCCATCATTTGCAACTCACATATCCAGATCTTGCTTTAGAGATTTTTGATTGGATTTTCTTGTTATAATTCCTTCCTTGGTACATTTAGAGTTTGCTCAAACTGCTACATGACTTCAAAGGCATCTGTTTTAATCTTGGATTTCCAAATGCATCTAAAAAACTTCACAATTGCATTTTCATTCAAATTTTCCTGTATGGGCATCTTTTGAAAATTTGGATGATACCATCATGATCCTCGTGAAAAATCAAGTGAGTTAGGCTAAAATTTCATGAAATTTGGGTGAGAATTGAAGAAGTTATGTTGAAACCGTTTTCATGTTTTCATTTGGTTTTGCCTTCAAAGTTGCCCAGAATTATGCGCATGGATAGTATATGTTTTAATGGGGTGGCTTGATACATTGGATATATCGCCACCCCAGTGGTTGTTTGCCTTGCCTTAAGAACTTATCATGCGCATGTTACCAGGTTGAACCCTCAATGAGGGCGCTTTTTTTTTTTTTTTTTGCATTTTCATGATTTTGAATGATTTCACTATTTTTCTTCCTTTTCCCACTCCATGCTCACAAGCATTTAATGGTAAAGATGGTAAAATTTTGAGCCCTTGACCCCAAGGTCTTGGGTTCAAGCCTTGGGGGAGGCATTTCCATTCTTTTTAATATTTGGTTTTATTTATTTTTATTTTAATTGTCATTAAAATTCAAAAATTCATAACTCCTTCATTTTTAATCCTTTTTGAATGATTCTTTTTTCTAAATTCTGGTATTAATGAATATTTTCATATGATGCTTAAAGAATTCTAAAATTTTTATTTTAGAAACACTTTGCATTATGAGGAATTTATGATTCATTTTAAGGTTTTCATCCTCTTACTTTTCCTCTCTCATTTCCCACTTTAATTTCATTCTCTTTTGAGTTTTATTTTAAAGTTATGATTTTGGATTGTTAGCATCCTTGTGTACTTGAGTTTGTCTTAAACTCCTTGCTTGTAAGCATTTGCGTTTGATTTTCTCTTAAACTTGAAAGTTTTC